GAGCTGATATTGACTTGGGTGCATAAATGCATCCACTCTTCATTTCCAGCCAAAAGGGTCTCTCATGGTGAGCTGCCAGGCATATCTTCAGTCCATCTCTAACTCCTCACAATAGGTCTGGGCAATCTGCCTAAACCAAGATTTTCCAGGACTTATGGGCAAGATCACTGACAGGGAAATGAGCCTACTGCTCTACCACCATTTAACTTAGAGACTGCCACCTTAATGTCTGTCAGAGTATGAGGTTCTTTCCTGATAGATGGAACCTCTACAGGGATCTCGACACCACTTGCGTCAAAATACTGAGCCCAATATTCATATTCACCTCAAGATAATTTGAAATGATCTTTTTATTCACTGAGGGACTGGAGTTTTCTCATGGTTTGTGTCAGGCAGGATGAAGGTTGTTTACTAAAGAAATGGCCTTCAACCTCCTTGGCAAGACTCCTGATGTACTGTTCCTAGAGTAACCTCTGCTATCAAAGTCTGGAGTCCCCTGGAGTGGCTACGGCTACAACCTGAAGAGGTGACCATATCCAAACACCATAACATCTTTGTCTTGCCTCACTGCTCTTTTGCAAAAAGTATAATATTTCAACTTTCCATCTAGGCCAGTTTTGGTCTCTGATGTATACAGCTTGAATTTACACACCAGAAAATATACATCTACTGGTATGTCACAGAGTTTGGAGAAAAAAAGATAAATAGAAAGATGGTGAATCAGAGAATGAGAAATGTAAACATTCAATCACATAATAAAAAGACTAACAATACCAAGAGGCACTTCTACAACTGATTCAAGAAGGCAAGGGGGAATACAGTGTTGTTAAAAGAGATTTCATAGGGTGCTTACATCACTGACTCTGAGAACCAAAGAGCTACAAAGGGATTGGGGAATGGGTATGGGTGTGTTGTGTGTGTGTGTGTGGGGGGGGGGGGTTGCAGCTCGAAAAAACCTGGCAAACATACCAAATTTACTTCCTCAACCTCCTCATTACAGTAAAAATAATGTGGGAAAATAGCCAGCCTCTTTTTGTGAACCAGCTCATAATCAAACATAAAAATCACAAGTACACTTATTTGAGTGCTGTTGGACTTTAAGGATTAATAAAACTATGAATGAGCTGTTGAATAAAATTCACATTCTTTTTATACAGAGTAAAAAAAAAATATATATATATATATATATACTCACTAATAGCTATATGCACTGCGCATGCATTCTTGTCAAGAGTAAGTGCCCACACATTGAGGGAGTGAACCATCTTCACTCCAGGAAGGGCTGTGAGGTTTGCTGACACTGATGCGTAGTCAACCCCCTGTGGTGTGCCCTCCATCAGGACATGAGTTAGGTCCTTTAGGATGGGGACGGTTGTGATGATCACCAGGACGGAGAAGATGAAGGTGCATATGGGGTCAGCAATCTTGTACTGTGGCTGTTGGGGGTCAAAATGAAATCATGAAAAATATGTCAAACCTTGGCCATCTTCCTTTCCTCCTAAACTCTTCTAAAACAGTTCCTTAAAAAAAAAGAGTCTCAGAATTCACTGCTGGTTCAACTTGAGCTGACAGTCAATATCTCAATAGGACACAAAATTCAGAGATTTTCATTAGAATTTTCCTGGCCTAGTAACCCCTCCAAGCTGATATTCTACTGACCTCAGCCCAAGCATCTTCAATGCTAAATTGATAATAGTATAGAAATAAAGACAGCAATTTTTTAAATATATAGAACGGCATATATATACGTATACATAGTAGATAAAATGTAGACAAACAATATCCACTTGCAAATTAATAATAAACCATAGCTTTTCTAATTCTCATAATTTCTACTAATGTATGAAACAATAAATTCAAAGAAACAGAAGACCCAAGGACAAACTATAAAATTTTAAGATTAAATGATAATAAAAACGGTTATCCTGATACTTACATAGTATCTAATAATGTATGCAGCTATCAACACGCCTATACTCTGAATCAGGTCTCCCAAAACATGAATGAATGCCGCTCTGACGTTGATGTTATTGGATTGTTGTTCGTTTTCCGGGGCTCTGCTGGGTCTGCGGCTATGACTGTGACCATGGCCACCAAGACCTCCGTGACTATGGCCATGTCCCCCCTGCCCCATGTGGAGGACCACACCGAGGCTGAAAGAAAAAGGTGGCAGTTGAGATATTTGACAATGTGAAAAGGATATGTGAATGTGCATTATTATAATCATCATTTACAAATTTCCTTTTCCACAAATAGAGGATGACTCAAAAAGAAGAATGATGAAAATTGGTCATTATTAAGATCATGTTAGAATGCTACTTTCCCGCTATCTTAATTTCAATGCCTGCAGTTTTTCTGTAGCAAATATTTCACATGAAAGTAGACTGGTTACTGCTATACTACTGTGGGAAATTACATGATGTTGATGACGACCCCCAGAGCCGAGACAATGATCATAGTGTCTGCCTCGACCTCGAAATCCATTGAGATGACTCTCTGGACTGCTGCAAACACCAGGATGCCAGTGATAACCCAGATAATGAGAACACTCACAACTGCACCCAAAACCTCTGTGGGGTGAAAAGATGGTGCTTAGCAAGGTGAAGAGGATGGGGACAATATGGAAATAATATAAAAGAAATCTTTGTATTCTTTGTCACTGTGATTATTCTTAGAGTCAGTCTTTAATACCTGCTTGCTTTCCATGCACAAACTTGATTATTTGCAAGTTTTGGCCAAATTACATACTAATGTGTAACAAAATCATAAGAAATCAGGAGCTGCTGCTGCATAAGAGAAGGAAGGAAAAATAGAAGGAAGGAAGGAAGGAAAGAAATAAAAAGAAAAGAAAAAAGAGAAAAAAATAAAAATAAATTATCAAATGGCAAAATGAAATTAAAACCTGATGGAAACATATAAAAGTAATTCTCATTATACAATGCCCCGCTTGCAGTATTTTTTTTTTCTTTTTCTTTTTTTTTATTCACATTTTTTAAATAGCAGGAATGATTCAAAACAGTATTTTTGAGCTAAGCTTCAGTGTGTCAGTGAGCAGTTCACAGGAATTTGAATGTGTCTCAAATGCCACTCACCACCACCTCCCCTCCTCTACTACCTCCCACACAGTATTGATTAATAAGGTTGTTGCCCATCCATGCTCTGGAATTTTAGTTCCCCTTACAAGATGTTGACCTTAAAATTGGCTCCCAGAAGGATGTCAACTAATGATAACAACACCAAGAAAAGAGCACAAGCATATCTAACTTCCTAGAAAATGGTGGTCCAAAGCACTTCGAGAATGGATCATCGATGTTGCCCAAGCACTCAACTCATCAGTGCAAACCAAGGTCTTGGTGAACAAGATGATAAAGGAGACAGTTAGCCTGGGTTCCCCAACAATAGCACTCCATGCTTGGGTATATGGATTGAAAATCAGAGCCACTGCAACAATCCAATGAGCCTTATGACAATACAGAATGTGGCAAAAGCCCTTCATGAAAAATAAGGAAATGAAAAACATTATAAGGAATGAACTGTATTGCAGCTTGCTGAGCTTTTCCAGCATTTAACACTGATAGTACAGAACTGAATACTGAAAGAAGTTTAAAATTTGCACAAAATGTCAAAGAATGTTTTTGTTATTATGAAGAACTATACAAGGAGGAGTGAAGCAATAGCAAACAAGGCATACTGATTTTTTTTTTTTTTTTTTTTTTTTTTTTTTTTTTTATCCAGTGTCTTTGTGAGGGGCTACCTGCACTCCCTTCCCCTGTCACTCAGCTAGTTTTTTTTTCCAATGCATTAGTGAGCTTTGTGTCTTGTTTTTATGAATATAATAATTTACACAAATTCAATCATTCATCTGAAGGGCTATCTGACCAAATTCAATTATTTTCATATACATGTAAAAACATTAAAATATCATGCAATGATATACAGATATAACTGAATAACTGTTAGCATGGACCACATTCAGTTTTTTCCTTCATTCACTATCATCACCATTTCTTCTGATCCATTCTTGCAAATTCTCCTTATCAATTTCTCTTTCCTTTTCCCCAATTTTTTTCATGTAATTTCCAATCTTTTCCAACTCTTTTTATCAACCTTTATCTTCCCTTTCTGTTTCTTTTACCTTCCCTGCTGTCTCTGAGATTCATTCCTTGGAACCCTTCTTATCCCTTACTTCCATTTTCATTTAATTTCCTTTCATCTTCCCCTTTCCTTCACTCTCTTCTCCCCACCCATTGATACCTTCTCCTTACTCACTCACCTGCTCTGTAGTACCCAAAACTCATATTTTTTGAGGCTGGCTGACGAGAAAGGTAGATGGCTGCCAGTGAGACGATGAAAGATGTAAGGTCGCTGAAGAGATGGGCTGCATCTGACATGATGGCTATGCTGCTGGCCAAATAACCCCCCACTGCCTCAGCAATCTGTAGAAGAGGAGAGATTTGGGTGTAGGAGAGAGGATGGAGAGGAGGTGGGAGAGGAGTTTGACCCTTATCCCATTTTCTATGATGCAAAATTTTGGATTTGGGATAGCTGTCAAGTATGTGTTGACACTCCCTGTTTATGAAAGTTACAATTGACTAAATTTACAGTGTAGTATAAAACTTGGAAACTCATCTGTGCCAAGTTTTCTGGGATTAAACATCAGCCTCCATCTGTATAGCCTATGACAAGGACATCAGAAAATGGAAAAGCATGGAATAAGGACCTCAAGAAATTGGAAACTGGGTTTATGGTCAACTTTTGCGTACCAATTTCAACTAAACATGGAGCTGATCTGTAATCCAAGAAATCTGGACATGATTAAGTTTCCAAGATTTAGACTACACTATAATTCTGCTTATTGCAACTTTCATAAACCCAAAAAGATGGAATATACAAGTCACAGAACATGATAAACTAAAAGAAAAGTTAATTGAAAAAAAAAATAAAAACATTTCTCAAAACCTAATCTGTAATGATTTTACTACATATACTCTAAAATAATATTCAAACTAATATGGACATCATACTGCAAATTCAGTATATTGCAAGCTTTATATAACTGAAAAGATGAAGCGTCTAAACCAGAGCAAATGATAAGCCAAAAAGACGAAAATGCAATGATTTTTTTTTTCTACTCATTCTCTATAGCAATGTATAAACTAATACGGATAATATATTTTCATATAACAGAAAAGATGTAACAAATAAGTCAAGAAAGATATATGAAAAGATATCTTACTATAGATGAATAGCAAAGAGTGAGTGGAATTCCTCGTCACAAAGAAGGTTCATTATTCTGACCATAATCATAATGATAAGGAGAGCAAGTTTTTAATTATGAACATGACATGAACAAACATAATGACTTTGATAATATAAATTAGTACTGATAACAATAATGTTCATAATGATAGTAAAATAAGAAAGGCCGACAAAACAGTAATGTGTTTTGAAACCTTGGTTGCCATTTCCGTAACAGACATTCTGTAACATTTGACTACCTTTTAGGGCTTAATAAACTTTGCTCTCTGTAATTACAAGGGTATATTGGTTGTAATCCTAAAAAAATAAAGTGTTTACCATAAATACTGTAGTCAAGCAGCATGCTAACAAGAGCTGTGTCATGGCACGGCTGGAGGCTCGTTGACTGGCTCGGGGCATGTGGCAGTGGTCGGCCGTTGCTGCTGTCGTTGGCCCCATGCCTGCATGCCCATTCTCGGCTCCATCTTCATCCTGGGGGTCCAAGGAGAAAACATGTACTTAGTATTTAATCTATATGCTTTAAATAATTATGATTCCCTTGACTGGCTCGTACTCTCATTGTTGGAAAAGCAGATAGTTGAAAACTTGTGTTAAGAGAGGAGTAGTTGTATTCTAAAGTAGTTTCAAGATATTTACATAAACAAGAAATATGAAGGTCAGCATAAAAAAAAAAAGGAGTAAAAATATAAGATATCAGTATGTAGGCTATAAAGCAAGAAGAAATACCAGATATCAGTAAGTTTGCAAGCGCTATGTTCTAATAGTAACATGAAAAAGCACTTTCAGTTCTAGATAAAAATTTATGGGAAGCGTAAAGCAAAGGTGACATAAGGGGAATTTCTGTTCCCTGCAAGTGGTATAAGAAAAGGTCACTGTGTTATTATCTCTTGCTCTGTTCTCCCTTGGGGAATCTCAGTTACAATAAGGTAAAAAGCAAGAGCAGGATCTCTGAATAGCTTAGATTATGGATTTATAAATAGGAAAACTTGAAATAATGCATGCAAAGAGAAGGAAGAGAAGCTTGACTCACAATGGGCTGGATATTACCTTGTGCTAACCTCTACAAAGAATTAAGATATATTAAAAAGAGAAAGATAAAAAGAAAAATACTAAGTTGCATTCCAAACGAACAAAGCCAAACCATCTGAATAATATGAAAGACACTTTTAAAGGTCTATCCTTGCTAAAATCTCTACTTTGGCACAAGGAAATGATTACATTTACATTCTGTTTCTCTTTACCTTTCATCCTCTCCTTGTTCCAGTCCTCCTCCTCTTTGTGTGTGTTATAACTAAATTCACTCAATCTAACAAAAACACGCTCTTAACGGCCCTCACATTGCCTTCCATCACTCTGGTCTCGGTAGACTATTTCTCTAAAGCCAACTGTATATGTCTGTGTCTATTGTTTTCATAGTTGTAAAGCTGGAAGTTACTAATATTCATGAGGTAAAAAATCTGCAATCCTAGAACAAAGCCAGTCATGCAATTCAGTCTTATTACTGAACAGTATCTGTATCTGAGGAATGTTAGTTTTGCTGTTTTATCCTGTTTATGTAGTCATATACTGTACTAAAGAGAAATACCAATACTAAAGACATCAATAAAAAGTTAAAAGTATGTTAGATACAGAAGAATATCTAAAATATCTTATATACATTAAAAAACTTGCAGCTACAAAGAAATGCTATGCATTTCAGAAGCAAGTTACTGTGCTTCCTCTTCTCTACAATCCATGGATCCCATGGATGCAAAGCATCAAAAAGTCTAACTTTTCTAGAAAAAGCAATAGGAGAGAAAACTAAACAAAGGGTGAGATGATGATGATGGGGAAAAAAAAGGATCTAGGTGCCTTGCTGCCTGTATGCATCTGCAAAACAAAGCATTAAGCTTATTTGAATAGCAACTCTCCCGGATGTGTGGCTTGTAGGCCAGGTCCATAAGAACACTCAAGTGTAGCATCAAGACTCCTTGCATCTCCTTTGCAATGTTATTATTTCTTTCTTCATATTTTTATTTATTTATTTATTTTTTTTTTTGCTATTTTCCAAGGTCTATATTTTTAAGCTGATATACTGCTTCAAGATGGCAATGGACTGTTCTTGACAGATTCCATATCATCTTTCTAAGCAGTCTACAACTCTATGCAGTAATAAAAACAATAAGCAACATTTTGTAATCTGTGTTGTCTTTTAGTATTTTTGCATTATTCAATTTTCTGTAATACACTCTGTAGCGCCAATCACAGCAGGCAGGAATACTGGCCTCCCTGGAGCCAACACTCTTCCAGCCACAACTCATAGATGGTACATTCCACATTCATTTACTTGTGAAAATAATGTAAGAGCCTCAGCCCTCAGCCAAATATTTCTATGATGGCATATTCCCCTCACCCATCCCTCACATCACCATGATCCAATGACTTGGAGACTAAAACTTGCCCAAAAGTATTACTATGACATGTATTGGAGAATTCATGGTTCTCTTTTTCAGAAATTATTTAATAAATTGTCAGCCTTCAAAATGATTTGGGTACTCCTGGGATAGGAAGTAAATATAGCAGAACTGCTTAAAGCAGACAACCAAATTCTAAAGGAAGGAGCAAAATGAAAATATCTAGCACTTTACAGCTGTATTTTCAATCATGAAAAAAATCAGAAAGATAGAAAACCCATGGTAACTCTTGGCCATGTTTCAAACAGTTTTTCAGCAATATACAAGCAAAAATTCTGTTGAATATTCCTTGATTACTGAATACTTCTAAAGTATTTTGTTGAGAATCTGGTAATTTTCCCTCAGAAAAAAACAATTTCAAAAAGTTTGTTAAAAGAAATGCTCACAACTGTTAAATTCAAAATTTCAAACTATTTACTGTATGTTCTCAATACGTTTATACATTCTGCCATAAAATGTGGTCAGTGTACATCTAGGCCATGGAAGATTTTGAAGGCTGATAATCTATTTAATAATTTCTGAAAAATAGAAACTTGAATTCTCCAATACATGTCATAGTAATAGCTTTGGGCAAGTCTCCAAAACACTCTCCTTATAACACAAATCCCTGAGATTGTGTATGGGGAACATATTCTATCAAAGCTATCTTTAAAATCAAGGATTTACTAATATCATTTCACTGTAAATAATCATGAATAATAAATGAGAAATCATCTACAGCAAAGTCCTCTCCTAAAAAACAAAACTCAAAACAAAAATAAACACAAAATACAATGAAAGACAAAATGTATAAACATCTAAACATTTACATGGAATGTATCTCTACATGTTGCATATACATGTACATTCGTTGTTTTATGTATATCTACGGCTAATGCCAGACAACTTTTCTGTGGGGGAGAGGAAACAACTTTTAATTACTTTTTGTATTCATGATTAACTATCTATTTTGAGGTCACTATGTCATAATTTTTCATTGTAAATAATTCCTTGTGAGTGACCATGGTCTACCCCTCCCTCCTTCTGTGTGATTTATTTAGTTTTTTTTTTTTTTTTTTTTTTTTTTTTTTTTTTTATCTGAGTGACCCCTGAAATTCACTGACATACATGCACTCAACTCCACACATATTGAAATCTTGTGTGGAGGTTTCATGAAACTAGAAATATTCCTGGCCACAAACATAGTGTGGGCCTTGTAAGAAAATAACCCTGCATACTTTAAATGTGTTAAAATGTCAGGTGAATATCAGCCCATATCCATAAGGAACAAGACCCATGCTCCTAGGGGAGCTGCTTTATTCCACTGTAACAACTGGAATAAATTATTTTGAATCTAACACTGAAAGTCTGCAAGGACTTGAGTTATGCTAAAATATATGCACAGAAAAGACTGCTTATTGCAAAAAAGCAGAAGAGGATTGTATTTGCTATATCGTATTTGACCTACTTGTATGGAAATAAATGTACATGTGAAAAGGCGAGAATAATCCAAGAGCTACTTTAACCCCTACGATCTGGGTGACATTACTGTCCTGTCATGGAAAAATCTGGGTCGAGGGCCAGGAGACATGAACATGCTGTCATCTGACAAAATGGCTGAGGGCTATGTGATGCCAACCTGCTGTCAAGAGCAAAGGCCAGGGTGACGTAAAAGACACATTACGAATGCACAAACCTTTTGGGGTTTGATTAGACTCATCTGGCACTTAGAAGGGGGCTTTTGCATTATTTCCATTGATAAACGAATGTGGAATGTAAGGTGCATAAGCCATGACTGGAAGAGCACCGGGTCCAGGGAGGATGCCATTTCCATACTCCGCATTATATTGCTGGCCATTGTGACCGACAGCACAGGTTTTATAACAGAAAATTGAAAATGATCAAAAAATAAGATGTATAACACAAATGACCAAATATTACTTTTGTTTTTTTCTTGCCTTTTTTCTTGTATGAAGTTATTTACTACATAGAGAGATGATATGGAATCTGTGCAAGGAAAATAATCTATTACCATCTGAATAAAGCAAATCAAAAGACAAATATGGACTTTTGAAAATGGCAGAAAGAAGAAGAAAAAAAGTTTATGCAAAATAATTTTGTAAAAGGGAGGTTTTGTCATTGCTCATGAGTGTTTGTGTATGGCCACTTACGTAACCCACTGCCTGTATTTTCAGCATCATGATTTCTGTGACATTATTGGTTTTAAAGGGATAGTAATCAAGTCAAAAACTATTTTTAAAAATTGTTAAACCTTCCACAATTTGCAATGTTTCATTGTTAAAAATAAA